TTTATATATATGGCATCATCTTTATCCATCTATCAATAGACATTTAGGTTGTTTCTATATCTTTGGCTATTGTAAATAGTGCTGCAGTAAATATAAGGGTGCATGTATCTCTTCAAACTAGTGTTTTCATTTTCTTTGTACAAATACCCAGGAGTGGACTTGCTGGGTCGTACGGTGACCTGTCTGGCAAAAATGGTGAGATTTTCAAAAAGATTTTTAATGTGCCTTTTATGAATAACTTAAGATTCTGTGATTAAAGCATCAGTAAGCAAAAATATTTGCTAAGGGTAGTTTCCAGCAACAAAAATATAACTTTTGAAAACAGCACATACCTGGAGAAGTTCAAGCATCTTTTTCTTTATTCCTGGCTTCGTATGTCCTTGATTAGGTCAGGTCATAAAATTGAAAACAAACCATTAGGTACAACAGTAGAGTTGTGCAAACAGTTAATTAGTTGTCTTCTCATTCTCCTATGTGTATACATTTATGAGTATGTAAGAAGAAGAATGTTAAGCTCCATACATTATCTGTTAGGTTATAAACGAGATAGAATAATGTACACTTCTCGTCTAGTCCTTTAGCATCGTATTATTTACACTATAGCAGACCCTCAATAAATGACATTGCCTATTTACTCAGCCCTGATGCTAAATGAGAAGAAAGGGCTAATCAAAAAATGTTCTATAAGCACAGAGTCACGGAGAAGTAATGCTATTTTTTGAATATTTTATGCCTTGATTCCAACCTCTCTGGATAAAAATAATGGATTGCTATTAGGAAATATTTTATCATTTTCTCTTATTTGTTTTCATTCATACCATGTGTTAGCTGTACCTTTCACCAATGCAAATGTAAATATTCAGGAAAAAATAAAATTTTGGCTTGCTTTCAATTTACCTTTTCTTATGAGGGTTTCAGTATTGCATTTGAAGTCCCAGTCAACATCTAGTTTAGGCATATTTTAATCCTTCCACTTGGGGTGTCAAGTTGTATAATCCTAATTAAATTGGTGAAAGACTACAAAACAAAATGAAGGAGCCTGTGAAGAGGGGAGATTAATCCTCTCCATGGACTTCTTAGGTGGTAGTTGAATTTTAGAGGTGACCTTGTCCTGTCAGCTCATAAGCACACTGAGACTGGGGAGATTAAAAGCTTGCATCCCCATGGTCCCTTACTGGTTAGCAGCTTAATACTGTAAAATTAGAAGCTATTAGCATTTTGATGTTTTCAGATATTTGTACAAGTCATAAACCTGAGTTACAAAGTTGATTTTATATACCTGTACGTGTAAATTCAATCTCACGGTTATCCTGCACGTGAACGCTCACACACACACACACACACACACAATGTCTTGTGTTGGGCTTGAAGCTTTAACTGGGTAAACCGTTTCCAGAGGTCACCAACCACTCTTGATGCTCCATTCAGGGTGTTTGACTACCTTGTTTTCATTTTTGTTTCTAACTTTAACTCATAAAAACCCCNCGCTCACACACACACACACACACACACAATGTCTTGTGTTGGGCTTGAAGCTTTAACTGGGTAAACCGTTTCCAGAGGTCACCAACCACTCTTGATGCTCCATTCAGGGTGTTTGACTACCTTGTTTTCATTTTTGTTTCTAACTTTAACTCATAAAAACCCCACAGGGTGAGGAACCGTTTTGAGAAACAGGTCGTAGAAACTTTGGAAATGTAGGAAGCTAAGCAATTAGTGTCCAATTTTCCCTTGGGAAGAAAAGATAAGAAAAGTTAATATATACTACAGAGATAACTGAAGTAGGTTCTTTAATAGTAGTGCATTGTAAATGATAATTTTTGACAGAGTAACAGTCTTCTGTGGGAGAGCTTTATGCTCTCTTGGATTCATTAATAGTATGTGGCACTGGCTTGCATTCAGACCTGGAGCTGAAGCAAATCAGCATGACATGTTTTTCTGTTCTTGAATCAGATGTATTCCAAAAGCTTTTGAATTTATAAAGTATTTTTGGAAATTTACAGGAATGGAAAGTTTGCCAGATGTAATACATTTAATAGGACAACCAAATCAAACTCAGATGTAATCTCAAGGTGTTCTTGTGGATTTCATATTCCTAGCCTTTCCAGAGGCTCAATGGTTTCTATTCCTGGGATGTGAGTTTAGCTGGTTCCAGTATAGGTTTAAAATTCAATAAACATGATCACCTACCATGGGCCAACCCATGCGATAGGTGCAGTCACACTGGCTGTGTTCACCTAATCCTCACATATACACCCTGTGAGGATTTATGATCCCAGTTTCTCGAGTAAAAAGAGCCTCACAAAAAATGGTAACTCATCCATGATTATGTAACTAATTAGTGGTGTTATTGGGATTATAAATCAGGTTATTTTACCATCAAATCTAGTATACTTTCCAATAAAATTCATTTATAAGGAGTTGTTTATTTTTTGCAGTGGAGTTTTTCAAACCAGATTCATTGGTCCCAGTATAAATTTTTTTGTGGTTTGTTTTTTTTTATGTGTTTCTGTTCGAAAATGTTGAAAACACTACCTTTTTCATATGCATTTTATTGATTGATGGAAGATTAGTCTGATTCATCAAAGAAAGATCCTGGTGCCGACTCACTGAAGGACGATGGCCAGTGTGTTGGGTAAAGACACGGGCTTCTGAGTCAGGCCAAACTGGGATGAACCCTGGCTCCTCAGCTGTGGAGAAATATCATGACTTTGAGTAAAGTTATTTGCACTTTAACTTCCAAGCCTCAGTTTCTTTATCTGCCAAACATTTCATAGGGTTGTAATGAGAATTGAGTACAATAGTGAACATAGAGCATTGATGAGAGTTCCCAGCAGATAGTACAGATTTTATTATTTTTTTAAATTAACTTTATTGGGTGACATTGAGTAATAGTATTGTATGAATTGCAGGTGTACAACATTACAATTCGATGTCCATGTGCTCACCACTCAAAGTAATTTCCTTTCATTGCCATACGTAGACCCCTTTAGCCACTCTGCCCTCCCCGCTCCCCTCTCCCTCTGCAGCCGCCGTTCTGTCGTCTGTATCTGTGAGCTTGTTTTCGCTTGTTCACTTGCTACGTTTGGTTTTATATCTCACATGTGAGTGGAATCATATTTGTTCTTTTCTGTCTGACTTATTTCACTTGACCTAATACCCTCGAGAGATCCATCCATGTTGTTGCAAATGACAGTATCTAATCTTCTGTGGCTGGGCCGTGTTCCACTGTGTGGATGTGCCACGTCTTCTTTATGCAGCGCTTGCCAGGGAGCACTTAGCTTGTTTCCATGTCGCGGCTGCTGCAAATAAGGCTGCAGGGAACGCAGGGCGTGCACACTCTGGCTGCCATTGTCGGTAGCAGTCATGGCGAGGTAGGAAGATAGTGGACACGTGTGTTAAAGAAGGATGTTCATTATTATGTTCAGGGACATCTGAAGACTTTCTTATTCATAAAATTGTATCAATCTCACTGAATATTTTTAGTGATTAACAGCCCGTATATAGTATTTATAACTTTATTTGATGCTTTTTAAAGAGATTTTAAAATATGGAGCCATATTTTAATTACTGTTGCTAATGGATTGGGAGTAGTGGCATGAATAAGTTATACATAGATGGGGAGTTCACCTTTTTAAAAAATGTATACAAACATAATTACATACTTACTTCGAGTCATTGAAAAAAATTGTATAGCTATTGTACAATGTCTTGCATAGTAGATCAAAACTTTGTCAGCCAGGATAAATTAATTTTGTTTTCATTATATGTTGATAAATTAATTTTGTTAAAAATAATAAAATAAAAGGAATTATGCAACTAATTGGTTTGGACTTTAAAACATTCTTGGTACAAAGAGTCCAGATTGGGAATGTACAGGTCAGTCTTCAGTTACATAGGTATGCACACATATATACACTATTAAAGATTGGTTATATTAAAATAAGCTGAAGTTTCCCCAAATTGAGATATAACCATAGAGCTTTATTTTTTATTTCCTGCATATATTTAAAAATACTTCTCTATATAGACTTGGTCAAGGTAAATCAAAGTGTTTAAATGATAACCTTGGATATTTATGTTGGATGTTTGTGTTATACCATGAAGTTGAAAGTACAGAGAACCTTGTGTAAAAGTATGAATTTTATATATAGACTCTTNTACCATGAAGTTGAAAGTACAGAGAACCTTGTGTAAAAGTATGAATTTTAAATATAGACTCTTTTCAGATTTAATCTGTCATTCGAAGGAAATAGATAAATGTAAGAATGTTCACCCTTTTAGCGATAAGCCAAATTTCTCTTGCTGGAAACTGACTTTTGAAAATGATGTGTATCTTATATAGGATTAAATGGATTCAAAAAAGAAAAATCTCCATTTGTAAATATAAAGGGGCAATGTGTATATATGTGTTCTAGCTTCTTTATACCATTGTCACCGTTTTAATCATCTTTTTAACTAAGCAGCGAGTTTTAATATTTTAACCTTTAGGTTTTTAATGTATGATCTATTCTATAGCAAAAACATCTAAAATTCAGATTATAATCCCATTTTCATTTCTTTTGTCAGATGATGAAACATGCTTGGAATAATTATAAACGTTATGCCTGGGGATTAAATGAACTGAAACCTCTATCAAAACAAGGCCATTCGAGCAGTTTGTTTGGTGAGTAGAGTATACTTTGTGTCATTTGTCACAATACAAGTGACAGTAACTTCTCTCTAATTGGCTGAACTTGTGGGTGGTGGAGACATTCGTGTGATCCTCCAGACCACGTTGCTAGGAAACTTGCACACCTGATGGAGTTATCTGCAAGGCAGCACTGGCGAGTATTAGAACCACCTGTGTACCTTAAAGAATACTGACACCCAGGACACTTCCAGAGGTTCTCATCTAATGGATATGGGTGCAGCATCATGATTTCTAGATCCCAGGGTGATGCCCAGCAGAGGAACATTTGGTCGGCGGCATTAACTGCTTCCCATCAGGTAGCCAGCCCTGGTGATCTTCGCTGTGTCTCAGTGACTCTCGACTTTGGCTCTGGGTTTCTCCTGTTTGCACATGGGCAAAAAAGTGAGGGTGGATTTGGTTAGTTATGTGAACTTCCATTTACCCACCTCGGCCTGCCTTATTGAATTTGGTCCCCACAGCATCCCTCTGTGGTTGGTACTGTGGCTATTAATAACATTCCCACTGTGAGGTGAAGAAGCTCATAACAGAAAGGTTAGATGGATTCCTTGGGGCACATTCCATTTTAACTTCCACTGTTTTGTCTAAGTAACAGGATAAGGGAAAGTAAAGAAAATGTAACTTTCTTTAACTGGAAGTGTTAAATAGTATCAAATCATATAGAAAACAACGGTAACAGCTGACACTGTGTGCCAAGTGCCGTTCACGNAGGGAAGGTAAAGAAAATGTAACTTTCTTTAACTGGAAGTGTTAAATAGTATCAAATCATATAAAAAACACTGTGTGCCAAGTGCCGTTCACTCATCATCTCATTTAACCTCATTGTTATACCCATTTAATAGATGAGAAAAATGAAGCTCAGAGAATCGCTTGCCCAGTGTTAGCCACCGACTGACTGGCTGAGCTGGGTCTCAAGCCCCGGTGTGGCTAAGGTCAGGGTACTCCTGGTCACACGCTGGGCTCTTCCACTCATTCAGGAGCTTCCATGGGTTTGGCTGTACTGCCAGCACTGGTGTTAATAAACACAATAGAAGACTTTGCAGACTTCATGGTGTCCTGCAGAAGACTTCATGTTCATATGAAGCTCTGAGGAACCGGCAGGATGTCAGGTAGAGAGAACAAGTAGGGAGAGCTGGGAAGAGTGGGAGAAAGGCCGGTTGGTCTGTCTCGGCGACACAGTTCAGAGGTGTGATGAGCAATAGAATGGAAGAGAGAATCTCGGAAACTTCATGCAGACTCGGAAGCTTTATTTTTCATTGTTGCCTATAACTTTTAAAATGTAATTCCATTTTTGCTTTTATCTCTATGAGAGTTTCTTGTACCATTAAGAAATCAGTTATGTGTAAATATGCCATAATCAAACAGATTAGTTGGTTCTCTGTTAGATTGATGGTTTTAAAATTTATTATTGAACATTAAAAACCTACTAAGTCTCTTACTATGAAATGTGGAGATAAACAAGACATGACTTCTCTATTAAAAGGAAGTTTACAGACTAAAAGAAATGCATATAAGTAATTATAATAGAAGACAGTGCAAAAATGATATAAAGTCAAGGGACTTGAGAGGAAGTAAATCACAGAGTCAGGAATGG